GTGTGTGTGTGTGTGTGTGTGTGTGTGTGTGTGTGTGTGTGTGTGTGGTTAAACCCAGAGTGTTACTGAGTGATATCCTGTTAGAGTTAGCCTCCAGGCTGAGGTTTGAACTGCCGGCTGTGGGCGGGACCCTGGAGAGGGCCGAGGGGAGAGAGAGGAAGCAGGGAGCAAGCTGAGCTAAAAGGGAGCAAGATGGAGGGGAGATAGAACATTAAGAAATGACAGAGGTCACAAACAATCCTCATGTGTTATTGAATGTCTTTTCCCGCCCTCTCTCTCTCCACCCACCTTCCCTCTTTCCATTTTTTCATCTCCTTCATGTCTGTAGGAGGTGGTGGTGTGTGGCCACTCTCTGGAGGTGAATGTGACCAGCAGTCTGGATTTCTACCTCAGCGTTGCCCAGGTGCAGCTCCTGCAGCAGCTCCTCAGAGAGAACCTGGTGGGGATGGACACTCCTGAGAAGAGCTCTGAGGTGCGTGTACTGTAATCAGCAACAATCACTTCGTGAAGTGCTACAGTTTGACTCGCATCCACATACAAATCACTGCAGGGCTCAAAAAACACAGTTTTTCCCGATCCACTCGCCCCTAACTATCGCCCCTCGCTATTTTGGGCGAATCCGACACATTTAAATATTTACTCACTCAGAGCGAGGCTGGTTCTCTAATGTGGCCTTAGTTTACGGCACCGTGCTCAGCTGCTGCTTTCAGGGTCCTCTCTCTATTGTTTACAGGACAGGGAGCTCCCAGGCGCCGTTTGCCCCGTCTGACCGCTTAATAAGGCTTTTCTAATGGAACACAATATAAAAACATTTACCAGCTGTGGTGAGGATGGGAGTCGCAGAGGAGGGAAGCGGGGCAGGGGACAGAGGAGGGGGGGGGGGTTAATGGGATGAAATGACGCCAGTGGTTTTACTGTTGTGTCCTCTTTGGATTCATTACGGGAGGAAGTGTGTTACTGGCATGCAGCAACTGCGTCAGATGACTCAGAACCCGGAAAGGCTTCTGTGAAGTGATTCTTAGGAACATTGCACAAGAGCAGTGATCCCTCGTTGTTTAGTGTTACCACTGACAGTCCTGTAGGAACTAATACAAGCTCAGTCTTTTGTCCAAACCAACAACATTAAAACAAAGGTTAAAATGGACATTAAAAAAAATAATACCTTTTATTTATAAAGTGCTTTTCAAAACAAGTTAGAAAGTGCTCTACATACAATTTAAAAAAAACTATAAGCAAACCGTTTATAAAGTATTATGATCAGAAAAAATAGTAAAACAACCGTAAAATCAATAAAAGCCAACTCTGATATAGTGAGTTTTAAAAAGTGACTTAAAAAACGATGTGTCAGCTTCCCTGATCTCCTCCTGCAGGTCATTCCACAAACAGAGCTCAACTTACTGCAATATTCAGATCACGGGAGGCTCAATAATTGTGAACGGCCAAATTTGTGTAATTATTGTGGCCCTGCAGGACGTCCCAGCCGACACGTCATGTTCTAAAGACGAATGACAACATCTTTGTTTGGTACTGATCCCCTCAAAAATCACACCATAATCACTTTTATATGTTTTTTTAAATGAAGATGAGAATAATGATGTACAAATCATCCTATTGCAATATCAGTGAAAATAATCGCAGTTTGATATTTTTTCCCAAAATGGTTCGGCCCTAACATCAAGTCAGTCCGCCTGTCAGATTTGTTACTACGGTGAGAATACGTTGTGTGAAGTTTGCGCACTGCTTTACGTATTCATATATTTAGTTATTTATACAGTCAGTCCGAAGGAGGTGCCTGCTGTGCATCTGGTTCTGATTTGGGTGATCTCGGAGCCCTCACCCCTGACTCGTAATGATTCATGGCTCGATTCTGTTGAGGGGCAGCTAACGGCTGCAGAGGGTTCATGCAGGTTCAAGGCAGGATGAGAGTTCAGCAAGCAGCTATTCAGGGAGGTCCACGATTGGCAACGATGTAGAAAAAAACATTCATCTTTACTCCGTAAAGAAAGGTTGAAGTTTCTTTCACCTTTATTTCTCAAGGCGGTGTAAACTGAGCATCTTTTCCAGCTTCACACACACACACTGTTCCACACATTCACAGAAAACCTTCCTCTTATGATTTCAATTTTCGTTGCATTTATGCGGTGCAACTCCAGCCGGAGGATCTTGGGATTAAGGGTGTTGCTCAAGGGCACTGCGGCAGAAAGTGTGTCTTTCAGCCATGTTTCCCAGTTTATCCAGAGACGAGAACAGTCGACGTTTTGTTCTGAAAAATCACATCTAACCGCTGTGTTATTGCTGCCTTCAGCTGGATTAAGTGGAATTGAGATGACCCATAGGTCCAGAGTGATGTAATATAATGATCATCCATCCGCTGTTGAGAAATGGAGTATATATGCTTGGGAAAATTCCTCTCTGCTTTCATTTAATATTCACTTTTTGGTCACAGTTGTTGGGAACTCTCACTTTTTTATTTTACTTTTATTGTGCCGTATTAATTTCAGGTGCATTATCCCATGTTCCTCACCCGTCAGGGTTTTATAGTAGGGCCATTATGGAGCGCAACAGTATCATTAACACTGAGGTCAGTCCGTGTGTGTCTTCACCTCGCTGCAGCTGCAGAGCACGGAGGTCACTCTGAAGAATTGTGCTCTGGCTTCGGCTCTTTTTGGACACTCTCTGTAAAACTATTTCTACCTCCGTCCGTCTCGGTGTCGTCAGCCTTTTTGGCGGCCGCCTCTGTCCGGCTGCTTGGCCCCGGAGCCTGCGGAGAGGGGAGATCAGTGTGTGACTTAAAGATGTGTCTCTGGTCTCCGCGGGAGCTCATTCTGCAAGCTGCAGAGCCCTCTAGTGGCGCGTTCAGCTACAGCACGGTGACGCCTCTGTGCTCAGAGGGGGCTGCTTCTCTTCACCAGCAGTGTGCTCTGCCAGCAGCCTGCTGTCTACCCCCCCCTCTCACACTCACACATTAGACACAGCACCATCGGGTTGTATCAGTAGTATGTGTGCTGACATTGTTTGGAGTAGGACTTTGGAACAGGTGAATGCTTTTTGATGTAGCTAGAAATCAAACAGATGCCTGTCCACCCCCTGCTAACAGCTTACAAATAATAATCATAAAGTTCAGATGTATTTCCATTGCCAGTTTCCACAATATCACAATCTGGATTCTGTGTTTTTTATTTTCCAAACCTAACTTCCGTAATGATATTTATAGTATTTGACAGTTTTGTTTGTACTTCCTTTATACAACCTGTTCAAAGGATTCAATTAGAAACAGGTCTTGGATCTCAAGCATCTGGTGCAGGGGGGGGGGGGGCTGTTTTTGTTGTTGTGCCTCAATAAAGCACAGTCAGCGCTGTCCCCGGCAAGAGTTTAAATTAAACACCGCTCACTCTCTCATTTCCAAATCCTTTCCTTTCTTGTTTTTAATTCTTTTTTTCCCCCTTCTCTCTCTCGCTCTAGACATTTAGACATTTTGAGAACATGCTTGTTCTCCACGATCCCGGGCGCTGATTTCAAACGGTTCCCATCTCCCCTCACAGCTGTGTTTTATTGTCTGGGTTAATGAATTTGTTTTGCAGGGGCTTTTTGGGTTTTCTGGCAGTGGTGAGGCGAGCCAGGCACGTGGGCTGTGTGTGTGTGTGTGTGTGTGTGTGTGTGTGATTTCAGTCATGTTTTAGCCACTGAGCTGTGCTTTGTGTGAGAATCTGTCCACACACATACGCACTTTTATCATGACCCTTGCATGCATACAGACGTTGTTATTCTCCTCAGACTCTGTGCATTCGGTGTCATGGTAGCTCTTCGTCCACAGTTTTGATACCACTTAAAAGCTGATTGAGATGCAAATGCAACATGATTTCGAAGCAGAGTTGTTGCTCTGTAAGTCGGTCGCGTTATCAGGATGTTTATTGCACCATTAGCTACGGTCCGTCGCAGGTTGACCTCATCTCTGTATTTATGTTAATGATGATAAAGCGACGCTGGGCTGAGATCAGGCAGCTTTCAGCAGCAGGAGGTCCCACAGACAGGGGGGCCGTGAATGGAAGACAGAGCAGCCCTCCGACACTCATCTCGCCACTCTGTCCTCGGGCACCGTCACCCGGCAACTCGAAAAAGTGTACACCCTCACACGCATGCACACACATGCTCCCCACATTGTCGCCATGGCGACCGCCTGCAGCCTCTTATTTGGGAGCCAGCGCTGTGATACTGCTTCATGCCTGAGCAGCTTGTTTGTGTGTTGGTGCTTCAGCTTCGCTGCGAAGTCAGTGACTTTGCGTGGAGAAGTTTGCAGATCTTCATCCAACCGCCACTTGTTACTTCACTTCACCCACCTCGATGCCCCCCGCTCTTCTGGGTCGATTTTAGATAGTATCCTCTCACGGTCGGCGCCACTGTCATGCACTCGCCGCAATGACAAGCTCCCAAAGTATTTTAGTGATGTCCTACCAAACTGGTTAAGAGCCAGAATAGAGCTTTCTATTTAATTGCTTCCATCATCCCATGTTGGTTCGTTCCTCTCTTGCTCTCTCTCGCACACACGCACACACATGCACACGCACACACTCGCACACGAGCAGAGGCAGCCCGGGTCAGCCATGTGCTCGTACCACAGTGTGAGAGGAAAATACCCTCTGGTGCAGGGGAAGTCCCGCTCGGCTTCATCCTCCACCTCATCCTGGGATGATTACACGCATGGGAAACAGGGCTTTAGACTTCCTCCAACACGCATGCACACACACACACTGATGCCAGTGCACGCACACACACTAAGGCAGCACCCATGTTAAGGACTGAGGTATCAGGCCTCACAGGAACCTCTGAATTAGAGTTTTTTAGTAAACACACATGGGGGGGAAACCTCTCAATCACTCTTCCCCTTCTCCAGTTGGCATCGTGAGATATGCATCTTTATCTCCCACCCACTTTGTCGTTCCGTCTCAATCTCCTGAGGTCTCTTAACCATCCAGCTCTTTCTTCATTCCCCCTTTTGTTTTTGCCCTTTTTCCTCTCTTTTCCATGCTCTTCGTCTCCTCTCATTCATCTTTTTTTCTTTCCTCGTGGGACTGGCACAGCTCCTGGTTGGAAACATGTTGGCCCTTCCAGAGCTGGCTTGTTTAGTAGCTTCAGCTGGCTGACAGTGGAGAGGGTTCCTCCTCTGGAGACAGATGGAATGTGACAGTCTGTAGATTATGATATTACTGTCCCATTACACGCCTGCATTAGGGATGCACTCTCACCCAAAGCTGGACTGATGCAGCACCATAGACAGCGTGGGTAGGTGGCCAGCCAAGACCGACCGCCACGAGGAGTGAATTCACAGAGGGCGCGAGCGCTCTGGTCGGTTGCTGGTTTGGTTTCTCAGTGGGTTTGGACTGCAGTTTTAGGTTGTTAGTGGGGAGGAGGCAGTGTTTTATTGAAGCATGTCTTTTTGTGTGCTCATCATCCACACAACCACTCTCAAATACA